GGTACATTGTCCCCTCCTTTTGCAAAGTACTAATGGTAATAACTGCACATAATTGTGGAATTACCGCTGTAACACAGGTTTTCCAGTACCTAACCTGGCCACGTGAGGTATTTAAATGTGTATAAAAAACTATTGCAGCTGTGATTAAGGAGTATTTCTGATCATATTACGGTTATTAAATAATAGAATAACATCTACAGTTAGTATTGTCCCCTTACTTTGTTATATGGGCCTACTCTGCGATATGGTGTATGGAGTAGGAGCTGACAACCTTTCTCTCTAATTTTCTGGTGGACTTTGTCTCCCAGAGCCCCAGGCTTGGCGATCAGCTGATGGGTAAACAGAGTTGCCAGCTAGCTACCAGAGAATTCCAAAATAAAAAAAAAATACGAAAAAAAAAAATTGTCGAGTAAATTTTCACGGACGCGACAATGTAAACATCGGAGCGGCGGGGCGGGGGGGTCAGAGATTTAGTCATAACTCCTTTAATTTTACATATTTAGCAAAAATATTACGTCACGAGATTGCCAAAGCCCACTAGATTACAGGAGATTTTTTTTTATTTTTCGAGTATTTTTTTATTTTTCGTTACGACGGCCCCCTGAAGTCGCCCAGTACAAGCGAATGTCTCGCTGGGGCATTTGTCAACCACAGATGTGAGTTTGTCATAGAACGCCTCTTTCACATCGAGTTTACACACATCGGTAGGAGTGTACACAGCAATAAAAGACAAACCCCAAAAGCGTGCTTCAATCTCAGTGCCATAATAACCTCATCAACCGGAGACACCTCTACTACAGGAGGTTGAAGTCGGCTGGAAATGGCTATGGCTACTTCCTGGAGATGGTGACAATCGCTCCCCGGCCGGAGCAGTAATAGTTGTACCCACCCATGGTGATTCTGCTGCTAAATCTCATACATACAAAATATATATAATAATATATATATATATATATATATATATATATATTATATATATATATACACACACACAACACACACACACACACACACACACCACACACACACACACACACACACATAATATATATATATAATATATATATATATATATATATATATATATATATAATATGCATATAGAACTCTCTCTCTCTCTCTTCTCTCTCTCTCTCCTCTATATTATTATATATATATAATATATATATATATATATATATATATATATATATACATACATATACATACATATATATATATATATCATATATTATATATATATGTATGTATGTATGTATGTATGTATGTGTATATATGTGTATATATAGGTATATATATATATATGTATGTATGTATGTATGTATATATATGTATATATATATATTATTATATATATATATATTATGTATTTATATTGTGTGTGGTGTGTGTATGTATGTATATATATATATATATTATATATATATATATATATATATATGTATGTATGTATATACATATATATATATATATAATATACTATGTATATGTATATGTATATATATGTATATATATACATATATATATACATACATACATACATATATACATATATATACATACATATATATATATATATGTATGTATGTATGTATGTATATATATATACATGTATATATATGTATATATATATGTATATATGTATATATATATATATATTTAATATATATATATATGTGTGTGTGTGTGTATGTGTGTGTGTGTGTGTGTGTGTGTGTGTGTGGTGTGTGTGTGTGTGTATATATTAATATATATATATACATATATACTACATATATATATAAATATTTATATTATATATTATATTACATATATATATATATATATATTATATATATGTGTGTGTGTGTGTGTGTGTGTGTGTGTGTGTGTGTGTGTGTGTGTGTGTGTGTGTGGCGTGTGTGTGTGTGTGTTGTATGTGTGTGTGAGCGTGTACATATAACTATATAAACATTATATATATATATATATATATATATATATATTATATATATTATATATGTATGTATATGTATATATATAAACATCAATAAATAATTATATATATATTATATATTATTATATATATATATATATATATATATATATGAACACAAGCACAAACACAATCACGTGAACACAAAAATGAAAATGAAACTAGCCACAATGAAAATTGAGAATAAGCGTGACGTTTCGAACTCTTCACGAGTTCCTCATCAGACAAAAACCGAAATGGATACTAGGAGAGAATTTTGACAAGTTTATATATAGTGATAAAGAGACAAGATGAACAAGATCTGAATCAGGTCTCAGGGGGAGGGTCAAGGTCAAAGAGTCTGGGGAAGGCTTTGCTAAAAGTGATGAGGTAATATCATCTAGTCCCATTGGCCAGCACTCAAATCACAATTAGGCAATTTTCTAATTAAAAGGGCTTCAATTATTTTTTTCTTCGTACGAGTTTGACGATCTATGAATTAACTTGGCGTCTTTTCCAATTTAACTGATGTCCTTCGTCGCGTAA